CGGTAGGGGGAGGGGAGATTTTGAAGCTTGTGATGTCCACATTGATACCATTGGGCTGCAGGGTTCCCAAGCGAAATATGAGGTGCTGTTCCTGCAACTTTCCGCCCTCAAGCCCCACGCCCATCTCCTACCTACTAGCCTCATCCCGCCCCCTTGACCTGTCCGTCCTCCCTGGACTGACCTATCCCCTCCCTAACTCCCCACCTACACTCACCTTTACTGGCTCCATCCCCGCCTCTTTGACCTGTCTGTCTCCTCTCCACCTATCTTCTCCTTTATCCATCTTCTTTCCGCCTCCCCCTTTCTCCCTATTTATTTCAGAATCCCCTTCCCCTCCCCCATTTCTGAAGAAGGGTCTAGGCCCGAAACATCAGCTTTCCTGCTCCTCTGATGCTGCTTGGCCTGCTGTGTTCATCCAGCTCTACACCTTGTTATCTCAGATTCTCCAGCATCTGCAGTTCCTACTATCTCTGAAAGGATGTTTAGCAGTTTGTTTGGCATTGAAATGTTGCAGTTCATGGTTTCTGTCACTAGGTGGTATGAGTCTAGCAAGCAAAGAAAACTATATGTACTGTAACAGTGATACACATTATAACATGCAAGAGTACTTCTCCAAACCAGCAGCAACACTGAGGAATGAGACCAAGTGCTTCACATCATGGAATAAAATCTGGAATCCATGTACAGCTATTTGTTCAAATGTTTACACATTTTTCTCAATGAGCGACTGCGCTTGAGGAAAGACAAAGGAACACAGATATGCATTCCCTGTGAGGACAAGGAGAAAGACTGCAGACAGTACAGTCAAAATGCAGACAAAGTGTATCTTGGAGGTGGCAGATCACAATAGAAGTGAAATGCTAATAGGACCTCTAAGTAGAATGATAGATAGCAACCTCCGAAGCTAAGAATGAAAATCCCGAAGGATATGCTGCTGCCTACCCAGTGTCAGGGTGAGGAGGTATCTTGTGGCAGCTGGTGAGAAATGTGGAAAAAGGGAGGGAAAACCTATTTGTCACAGACCACATGTAAAAAAAATGTAGGTACAAATTGGGAGGAGGTCCGACTAAAGGGGTATCTGATATTAGGCTCTAAAATAAAAAGAACGCCTCAATGTAAATAATTTTTGGAGCCATGTCCAAACTGGGAAATGGACAGACAGGACAGGAGAATTAACACATCGATACAGGGCTGATATGAGGCACCGAGCACAGGTTTTCATTTTCTTGGAACAGTGGCACTAGTTCTGTTTGGATTGTCTTCACTTCATCAGGGATGGGACCTTGCTTGGTCATACTGCAAAGGGAAAATTGGGAGATGGAAAATGCTTTGAACTGGAAAAAGAGGCAGGGAAGGATTAGTAATCAAAAAGGAATTAAGAATCCCAAATATAAACCAAACAGAGCATAACATGGCATCAAATTAACTTCTGAGGGATTTCAAGACTGGGCGGGTATGTTTTTAAGGTTAGAGGAGAAAGATTAAAAGACACGAGGGGCAATTTTTTTTAACACATTGTAACTGTACCTGCATCCAACCAATGTTTAAAAGTACACAAATAAGAAATGTTTGGAGGGATATGGGCCAAGCATAGGTAAGTAGGACTAATTTTGTTTGGGATTATGGTCGGCATGGACTGGTTGGACTGAAGGGTCTGTTTCCATGTTGTATGACTCTATGCAGATATATGCAAAGCAGTGACTGGAGCACTCATTTAGTGAAATAAGTAGTTGTTCTTGTTCAAATGCTTTGATTTGTCTCAATAGTAACTATGACACAAGTTCAACCTTCCTAGTAACAATAACCAAGAAACTGAAATACACTGAATTATCTATGACCATCCCAATCAACCAGGACTACATTCTATATATTCCTGCTTACCTCTGTATGTCTTTGATGAAGTGCATTGTATTCTTTCTTGAGTTCAGACTCTCGTTCTTCCAGCCTACCAACTGAAAAGAAGCAAGTTAGAATACTTTCCAAAATGCCAACAAAACCATGCCATGCATCTCAACCTTCAACCACGGAGTCAGTCCAGAACCAACAATAATGTCCCGTCTCCTCTCACTTGTCAGAGAAATTAATTGCACTACTGTGTGACATTTACAGTTTCTGGGGGAATTAAATAACTTCAATTATTTAAAGTACAAATGCATATACTTTTTTTAAAAAGTCATAACAGACAGGTATTTATGTTTCACGTCACCAGATGGGCAACTACCAGAGACTGGTCAATATCCTATATCCCAGCAATCCACTTATGATCCAGAGTATTCAGGACAGAACACAAATTGATAGCAATAGCAAGAAGGGAGTACAGCAATTGTGTCTCAATGAACATTTCAAAGTTGCAAAGGTTTTGTTTTAAATACAAAATCTATCGAAAGCTAATCATTCTCAATGTTTCTTGAGGCCTTTGATGTGCCTGTAACGGCAAGCCAGCACCTACAGCACCACCTGATGGATAAAATGCACTATTTTACATTTATATTTTGTTTCAACTTGATTACACAAGGGGTAAAATTAAATCATTAAACAGAATTTACAATTCTTTTTGCTGCTCAAATCCTTTAATAAAAACACTAGGAACTATAAATCAAAATACACTTAGTCCTGCCACGTTATGATAAAACTCCCGTTTTACATGGATGCAATGACAGCTGAATTTTCAGTACAAACGAATTTAGTTTCAGCAATCACACAGTCATGTTTTCCATAATCAGGTCATGCTAGAAAACCATTAAATTGACTTATTATTCAGTGCACTTAATCATCAATTTATGCAAGTCCAAACAGCAGTGACATATGCTGTGAATTTCAATAATGTAGATTGATATGGAAAACCGATGGAGATATTCCTTTATCAAAGTACACAGCTGATAGGATAAATCAGCAAAACTGGTGATTTGAAATCTGCAGCCAAGTTTAATGACCACTGTTGCAAATTGTTCTATAATTACCCTGAGCATTACGCATGAAGTTGTTGTACTTCGACTACAATGTAGATATATTTGTACTGCCAGCCTAACTAAAATTATCTCAGAATATCAGTGCAGTGAACATCCTGGGAAAAAAAGCACAATGTACTGACCCAGATTTTACTAAATTCATTGATCAGAATTCATTGTTGTTATCTACAGCTCAATGGTAGCACTCTCGTCAGTCCACAGACTTCAGCACATAATCTAAGACACTTGGGTGGACCAGTGAAAGAATACAGATATTATGCCAAACCAAGGCCCTTTATGACCTCAGGTGGAAAGATGCCATGGGATTCTCCCCTGTCCTATCCAATGTCTGTCATTCAAGCAATTGATAGACCACATTATCTGATCATTATCTTTGCCATTTGTGGAAGTTTGCGGGACAGAACAGGCAGTCATAGTTCCCACATTACAACAATGACTACACAAAGTACTAAATCCACTGTAAAGCACTCTGGAATTTTTTTTATTGTCGTATGAATAACAGCCTTTCTGATAGTTCAGTTTTTATGATATCAGTTACCACAGAGCATGGAAATTAAATCCACTTTCTTAGAAGTCAGTTCAACATTATAAATACAATTTGAATTTTACAAGAGGATAAGGTATGCCCCATGACAGCATTCAGACTGGATGACGTGAATATGAAACAGTATTAAAAATCTTTAAGACATATGCCATAAAAAGAAGTCTAAAGTCTCAAAGGTGTTGTTTCTCTATCCTGTGCTGTTACTTATGAGTTCAACAATACAGTGGTTATGTTACTGAACAAAGTATTCCGGATCTAAGTCCAAATCCCACTATTGCAGCCAATAATTAAATTTGGAATAAAAAGATGGTATCAGTTATGGTGATCATATAATAACAAAACTGTTATTAAAACCCATCCAATTCAGTTACGCCCGACAGGGAGGGAAATTTGTTTATATTTATAATAAAGTTTCATCACTTTTGTTACGTTGGAGCCCAAAACTAGACAGCATAAAAATAGGAACAGGAGGAGGCCATTTAGTTCAAGCTTGTTGAGATGTTCATTGAAGCCATGTATGTACTTTTTCACCCTACATCTCTTAATTGCTCTGGTTAGCAAAAATAGAAGAGAATAGTAATAAACTCAAAATGGAATCCAGGTGAAATTTCTTTCCCCAGAGAGTGACAGGAATATGGACTGCGGATCTTGTTACCATAAAGAGAAGTTGAGGTGAATCTCAGATTCACCTAATGGGAAACTAGAGAAGTAAGCGAGGCAGAAACAAATAAAAGCATATGCTGATAGAATAAGATAAAGGGCTAGCAGCAGGTTCACATGCAGCATGAAGATTTGCACTAACCAGGTATACCAAATATCCTGTTTCTGAATTCTGCAAACTCTATGTAATCTTTGTACAAATGTCTGTAACATTTCCAGTTCTGGAGAGACTAGCAAGCTAAGTGAAAGCACATGGATTATTTCAAATACGAGTCAACCAAAAGGTACTAAACACTGTTCTAAAGGAATAATGTAATTAGATGTTCCTGAGATGAAAATGGGAACTTGTACATTCCAAACTGAAAAGCACTGTCTAACAATGAAGCAAACTGGGGTCAGCTTGGAGAACCATGGGATTCACAGCAATGACGCAAGTTTTGAACTTCGTGGTCCTGATTAGCTGCAACTATTCCTTTCAATTCAGATAAATGATCATCACTGAGAAATACCTACAATAAAACACTGGTGAGTTGGTTTGCTGTTTGGAGCCCAGTGCACAAAGAGGCCAAAGAACAGAGAAGACTGAAATGCATTAATCCCATGTTACATTAATTCAGGAGTCACACAGCAGCAACACAGCCACACAGTTATATTTTTTATTTGTTTAGAATAATTTTCTTAACTGTTTTCTTGGCTGGCTGAACACACAGCAGCTGATGTGGCAGACCTTAAACTGGCCTCCCAGGGACAGACCTCTGCCTCCATATCATTACTGATGCTCCCCTAGCCAGAAATGGTCACAGCCCTGCTGATGTGACTCTTCAATCGCATTTTCCCCTCTCCCGGCCTGTTTATCTCTTTGCTCCAACCAATGTCTCCTCAATCCTGATACTGCACTGCAACTTTTTCTTTTGAATGTAGGCTGAGAAGAGAAGGTGTGAGGGGTAGGACTGGAAACCATGTCTGTTCACATGCTTTTTACACATCATCCCCGAAGAAAAGAAAACTTATTTCTCTGTGAAGTTTTGTTAGTTGTTTCAGGTTGATAGGTTCTCTTAGCTTCCCAGTATTCTTTTTCACTATCAAGTTACGATGGTTCATGAGACTGGTAGAGAGGGGAACACCAGGATAGATGACTTGTGGCACCAGGGAACAGGACTGGGGGTTGGTGAGAGACATGAGAGGTATGCTAACAGTACTGGAACAAAAGGTGGATTGGTGATTAAATGGGGGTGATATAAGAGAGGTGAAAGTACTGGAAAATAATATGGCATGAGAAAAATTGTAGGGAAGGAGGTGAGATGGGAACATAGAACATAGAACATTACAGCGCAGTACAGGCCCTTCGGCCCTCGATGTTGCGCCGACCTGTGAAACCAATCTGAAGCCCATCTAACCTAAACTATTCCATTATCATCCATATGTTTATCCATAGTTTGGCTTAAAGGAGGATACTAATCTCACCAAAAATGTTTTGCAGTTCCTCTGGTTCAATATAAACCTATCGTCTTCTAAAACCTTCATAAATGTTTATTCGACCAAGCAATACATGATTCCTCATTATTGTAGATCATAGATCATAGATCATAGAGTCCCTACAGTGTGGAAACAGGTCCTTCGGCCCAACAAGTCCACACCGACCCTCGGCGCATCCCACCCAGATCCATCCCCCTATAACCCAGTTTGATATTATTTGAGATATGAGGAACCTTATTGGAAAATTTCATCATTAACAAATCGTATCGAAAACTGCTACATTTTGACAATTAAAATCAAACAACTTCTGACACATCTGCCTCAAAATGCTTCATAAAGCAAAAGACTGTTCTCAGTTGGGATTCTTTGCCTTCTCTGTTCTCTCCTTGGTGATATGAATATCAAGATCAGCTTTTCCTACCTTCTCTTCTAAGTTTACTTCCCATCTTTCCTCTCCAAAGCTCTCCATCTACATGACAACTCATCATACTACACAGCCCCACTATCTCAGCACTGCCATCACTGATGAGACAAAAATACAACTGCAGAGGTGGAAACTTGAAACAAAAACAGAAACTCAGCAGGTCTGGCAGCATCTGTGGAGCGAAAGCAGAGGTAATGTTTCGGGTCTAGTTACCCTTCTGCTGAGTTTCTCCAGCAATTGCTGTTTTTGTTACTAATGAGATAATCTCTAATCGTTTCCAAATATCACTCTCCATCTACACTCCCTTCCCCACTGCCAAGTGAGCTCCCTTCAGAGTCCGATCCTGGAACAAAACTCCCTAAATCATTTAGTTCTGTACTTTCGAGTTTCCAACCAACTAGTCTATGGCTTTCAGTTCATCATACTATTGTGGCAACTACATTTGCTAAATCTCACTGCCTCTACACCTTTCATGGCCTTTTGCTCATTGAAACAATTTCCATTCTAATCATTTCCCCATAATACCTCTCTTTTGGAGAGACCACTTAAAGTATTAATGGGCAATATTCTTCTCCAATTAATCTATCCCTTATTCAATGATCATCCAGGAAGGTAAAAACAGTATCTTGCATCTCTTATAAAAGCAAAAATGCAGACACTGGAAATTTGAAACAAACACACAGGATGCTGGAGAAACTCAGCAAATCTGTCAACATCGGTAGAGCGAAAAATAGTTAATGTTTCAAGCCTAGGATGTATCTTCTTCAGTTATCCCACCACCCCATCTTCCTCAAAGGCTCTCCCTCGTCTTTATCCTGAATTCACAATTTCCTTTGGTATCTGCCCTCAATTCTGGTCTTTGCTCATCCCAT